TCTGTGAAATGTCTGAAAGCACAGGGACGGTACCTGATGCCCTGCAGCGGCAGAAAGCAGTGTGCTGCCGACACCAGCCAGCTCGCCGAAACCAGCGAGGCCCCGCAGATGTGGCCCTGGCTCTTCACGTGCAGGCTGACCTGCCACGGCCATTCTCCCACGTCCGAGTTCTGCCCACCGACGATCCGYGACTTCCTGACGTAGGAGCGGAGCCCACAGTCTAGGGCAGAGAAGGAAAAGGTTTCTCCTGTYCCCGTCCCACACCTTCTCTCTGCTYCTCCGAGACATCTGATAGCRTAAGTGCCCTGTTGCCCRTGTCAGGGAGGGCTGATGCTCTCTGCACGGATGCTAAATTAGCTACAACATTTACTGGCCAACTCTGTAAAGGGGAGATAAACCCCTGTATTACCCATCTAAGCCCTCTTGAACAACACAGAGCCCTGTGATGCAAGGGCCAATACAGGCAAATACAGAACATGGCTTGGATATTTCCAGGTGAAGCTCCTGCACAGAAACACCCAGGAGCTCCCTCTGCCACACTGGAGTGTTTCTCTCAGAGGCTCAGCTCAGAATCCATGTCTCCCCACATTATTTAGGCACTCACTGCAGTTGTCCTCGTCAGAGTTGTCCTCGCAGTCCTGCTCCCCATCGCACTCGGGGTTCTGTTTGCTGATGCAGTGCCCRCTGCGGCACTTGTATGTATGCTCCTTGCAGGGGACTGTGATCTGGCCTGCTGCAGGCAGGATGGAGGCACAGGAATTAGCCCCRGTTTTGTGGAGGTCACATCAMCTTCATCTCTTCTGCCCGCCCCGAGGGCATTGCCACCCCATGGGTAAACATACCCACGAGGCTGCCCAGTCCCAAGGAAATCCATCAGAGGCTGCATTTGATGGCAGTCRCCCCACAGCCCACCCTCACCTGTGCTGCAGCTGCCCTCGTCGCTGCCATCCCCACAGTCGTCCTTGCCATCACATTTCTGTGTGTTGGGGACACACTTCCCATTGTCGCACTTGAAGCTGTCGGCTGCACAGCCTGGGGACAGAGAGCAGCTTATGAGAGCTGGGCATGCAGCACCTCAGCTGTGCCCAGCTTCTGTCCCTAAGACAAGTAAAGCCTCTGCAGCTCCARCATCCTGTGTCTCTAATCTCTTCTCCAAACTGCACACCACCACCCAGTTATTCACCCCTTTTTTTCCTACACGTGTGCTCATCCTTCTTTCCTCTGAGCTCTCATTTGAGGCTCAAGGAAGCTGCACCAGGAGAGCTCTTACCATGGGTAAGAGCTGGGTTTTTTGCCTGTTAATTTCCAGCACAGCACTTGCTTCCCTCCATCCAATGAGCCTCCATTGTCCCCATGCCCCTGCTCAAGCCCCCAGTCACTCACTGCACTGCAGCTCATCGCTGTTGTCACCGCAGTCGTTCACGTTGTCACAGACCCAGAACTTGGGCTTGCACCAGCCATTCTGGCACCTGAACTGCTGCTCGGTACAGGCTGGAAGAGCRGAGTRAGAATCACAGGATCATTTRTGTTGGAAAAGACCTCCAAGACTGAGTCCAACCTGACACCAATCACCAGCTCAGACCAGAGCACTGAGCACCATGTCCAGTCATTCCTTGGACACCTCCARGGATGGTGACTCCCCTGGGCAGGCAGTTCCAATGCTAGAAATTTGGGGAGAGGCCTGCAAAGGCACCTGTGGAGTCACCAGGAAACCATTTACCATGGGAACTCTCCCAGCAGGTGTGCAAGCACTTGGGAGCCCCAGCAATCAGCTTGGGACCATGCACATAAATACATGACACATTCAGTACATCCACAGTATTTCCACTTTTCTGGAGAGCAAAGCCATTTGGAGCTGTTGTGTCTGAGGCAGTGGAGGCTGAAGCTGACATCACAACAGCAGGACAGCCAGAGGCAATACTGAAGCAAAGCAATTGCTGCAAGCAGTGGGAAAGCACCTTAGAAACCTGTATCACAGGTCAGCAGCACGCTCTTCCCCAGAAAACTGCCCCTCCCCCGGGAACGAGATCCCAAACAAGGGGATCCCATCCTCTGTAATAAACTGCAGACCCTGGACAATAACATTAACTACAGGACAGCTCTGCTAATCCAAGAGGAAAATTTGTTGCACAAAGAAACAACTCCCTTATGTCCCATGGGTTTTCCAGATGAGCTCTGCAAAGYGTGCCCAGTTGGGTAAGGAAGCGTGTCCCTCTGCACCAGCCAGCTCAGCCAAACCCACAGCCAGGAGGATTACACAGAATAACACATTCCCAGTGGGGAGGGACTGGAAAGGGAGGGCGATGCCACTGGGAGAGGGCTGGATTAGCAGGAACCCACAGCTCCCATGCTGAGAAGGGATCCGAAATCGATTGCGCATTGAGTCTTCCCCCAGCCTGGAGGAAGGTGGCAGTGCTGGTTCCAGCCAGCACTGAGTCACATTACTCAGAACAAGCCTAGCCACTCTGGGGCAACATGGCCTTTCCTGTGCTATGCCAAAGGGAAACCAAGGTTGGACTTACTGCAGTCCCTCTCATCACTGCCGTCCACGCAGTCCAGCCACCCGTCGCAGCGCATACCCCTGTCGATGCAGCGGCCGGTATTGCAAGTGAACTTGCCAGGGCAGGCTGAGGGGGAAAAGGGACAAAACCACATGTGAGCTCTCTTGGTGTCTCCTCTACATCCCTTCCACAGAGCTCCCTATGCCTGCTCACAGCAGAACACAGTAGGAAGACCAGGAGGTTTGGAGAAAAGCAAGACATGGGCCACTTCCCAGTTTACAGGGCAGTGTAAGCACAGAGGAGGGACAGCTCCAGATCTCAGGGAAATCATTTTCCCCACCSCAGCCCCAGGGTTTCAACTCACGGTCACTGGAGTCGTAGGAGAGGAACTCCGCAGAGAAGCCCGTGTCTGTGTAGGACTGGTCTGAGTGGAACCGGACCTCGATTTTGTTCGTGGTACTGGCCACCACAAACTGAGAGCGCTCCCCGCAGTACCTGCAGGGAGAGAGCAAAGGGGAGTTGAAGAACTGTAGGTCAGCACCAAGAAAACCTTCTTCCATCCCTGACCTCCCTCCAGACCCCAGGAGCTGAGGGGGCAGGAAAGCAGGGAGCAGGTCTGATCGCAGCACAAACTGCTGGGCCTCAGGGTCCAAATCCTGCTGGCACTGGCAGAAGGTTTGAGCCAGTTCCAAACACCAACTTATGACCTTAGGAATGACTGGGAGCAAGTTCTTCCACRTCCCTTCCCTGCCCCATGATGTGTCTGATCTCGGATACACTGGACTTGTGCAGGATCCCATCCCACCATGGGCAGGTGAGATCATGTACATGAACAGCACTGGAGGAATTCAGGGCTGCAGAGGCAGGTGCTGACTTTGAAACTTTCTCTCTGAGGCAGTTCCCTTGCCCAAAACATTGTGAAACAAGATTAATCATCTGCTTGTGAGGTACCAAGTTTTCTGTCTGACCCAGCTTATATCAGGCTGGGGAATGCATCAGGAAATGCATCACAGGATACGAGTGCCCTGAGAATGGAGATCTGCCCATTTAAGCAAACCCACCTCAGATGTTCCTGCCTTCCCACACACAAGCTGTGTGCTGTGATTCTCCCCAGCATTTGCAGGGCGTTAGCTGCAGCACACCACAAACCCAGAGTCTCATTCCCAGAGCCAAGTGTGGGGCTCCCCTCTCACTCTGGGGCAGTCCCAGGCACCCTCCTGCCTCCTCCCAGCCCTGACAGCACCAGCACAGATTAAGGAAAGCACAAGGTTCTGTGTAACTAAACAAAGCCCCTCCATGGTTTCAGCCAACCCACACTCACCTCGTGCCGTTGATCTGCACATAGTCCTTGGTGCAGGAGCTGACTGGGATCCCGGGCTCCAGCACAAAGAACATGTTGAAACGCACCTTCACATTTTTTACAGGGGAAACCTGCAAAAGGAAGCAGAGTCAGTGGGATATTGTTTTCTGGAGCAAGGAAAGAGAATATTTTCACAGGAAGAAGGTTGTACTTGGGGGCAGGACAGAAGATAACTGAAAAGGGGAAGTCAATTTTCCATCAGGAAAAGAAACACCTTCATAAAAGTCACTATGAGTCACCCTGGCCCCAGAATCTCCAGTGGAACAGGCATACAGAGGGGTGCAAGCCAGACCTCTRGTCAACAGCCAGGAACTGGCCTGTCCCAAAGCCCACACTCTCATCCTTCTTGGGTTAAGTTACAGGATTTTTTGTGGGCTCCTGTGGGGTTCAAGGCCTCTTGCAACCTCTTCTGCCACTGCCTCCAGCTCCTAAAGGTTCCCTTAGTCATGCCAGACTCAGAGCCTCTGGGCCCCAGCTGCTGCAAGCTCCTTGCACTGTGTGCATGACCAGGATCATTTGACAGACTTAAGGGAAAGAGAGGGCCCATCTCACCTCAATGCTCCAGACACAGTCYGTGTCTGGGGGATAGTGTGCTGGGTAATAGGGAGTTGTAAAGGTGCCACTGTCTCCCTTCAGTGTCCCACCGCAGGCTAAAAACAAGTAGGAAGATAATAACAAGTTAGAGATTCAGATACGGTTTTCCCAAGCCTCAGCTGGCTGTGATCCRAGGCAGGAAGGGAGGCAACAGTCTCTAACAGGGTTAAGGTGCTTTCTGTAGAGAGCAGCTCTGCTCCAGGGCTTGAGAGAACCCAGGAGATCAATTAAGTGYTTCCTGTACACATCAACCTTCATGTGTAATACAACGTAATCCTTATTTTGGCCTCCTCAGGGGACATTGTTACAGCAACCAAGAACACCGTGGGCAAGGCAAGCGCCAAGAGCCAAGATGTGACCTGCTTCCAGGTGCTCCAGCCCTGGAAACATCCCTGACAAACTGACTGCAGCCACAGCCACCTCCCTGTTCAGCTGCCCATGCCAGGGAGAGGTGAGGAAACAGGCTAACGCCTCTGCTCACCTTTCATCTTCGGGACCTGGAAGAACTCAGCCTTAAAGCCAGGGAATCGCCCCTCCTTGTTGGTAACCAGTGTGACTAGCATGACATTCTGGGAGGACAGGAAGGTCAGGTTGTAGGACGGGGCATAATTCCCACAAAGCCTAGGAAGCAAAGGACAGAATCCATGAGGCACTGCTGCACAGGGAGCCTCAAGCAGCACAGCTCAGCTCTGAGCAGGGACAGGGGAGGGACAAGTCAGGATCACCCTGGACTCGGTMCTGTACAGGAACACCCACCTAACCAAGGCGTGGGGCTCCACGGGGCTCAGAGAGTTGTACACCTTGATGTAGTCACTGTCATCTCTGCAGGGCTCCAGTTCCAGGGTCTTGAAGGTGAGGCTGATGCTGGTGCTGGCATCTGCCCTCAATGCCCAGTAGCAGAGGGCATTGTTCGGGTACGGGCTGTTGGGGAAGCCTGGTGTGGTGAAACTGGTGACCTCCCCTTCCTTGGCGTGGAGGGAGAACATGCAGCTGTCTGCCCAGAGAGTAGGGATCAGTTAACAAGGCAAACAAACCTACCTTTCCCTGGGATGCAGAGAATAATTCCTGCAGGCTATCCCAGGACAGATGGCTCTTCTTGGGTAACAGGAAGGCCTGCGCCACAGTCTGTTCAACCCCAAACCAGCTCCAAGGGGCACRCTGGGGTTTGCCTTGCATGCAGTGCACCTCTCTCTAGACCCTTCCCCATCTTGCAGGAGAAACACCCACCCCACACCACTGAAATAGAAGAAGAACMGCACTTACTGTCCCGGGCAGAGTGAGCTATGCTGGGGTCCACAGCTGCAGGAGAAAAAAGAGCTGGCATCACCCTTTGGGCTATGGAAAATTTCTGGGCACAAAGTTGAGGTTGTTCCTCAGACCTTCACTGATCTGGCCTTGCTTGTGGAGTCTCTCCCTRCAAACTGGCAGGGAAAGCTGCTCCTGCGTGGCCTCTGGAAGCTGAGGGGCTAAACTTTTCCTCTGTACAGGGAGAGCTCATCCCTGTCCCTCTCCCCTGGSCTCAGAGGAGAACACAGAACGTTCCAGCAGAGGAGCATCTGCGCAGCATCCTTCAGGCTKTACATCCCATTAAGCTGTGCTGTGACATCCAGGTCCTTACACCACYCTCAGGGCTGGCTTTCCCAAGGGAGGGCTGTGACCAGCACCTTCTCCCTCCAGAGAAAAATCCCACCCAGTCCCATGCAGAGGCCCAGGGACAGCAGAGCCAATACTCACGGAAAGCGATGACCGACTCCACCTTCAGCATGGGGTTTCTCAGACGGGGGTTCCACCTCTGCACCAGGCTCTGCTTGTCAGCCATCGCCCTGTCCAGGCTCTCCTCCCGGTACTTGGGCACAAGGAATTCTGACCAGTAGTAGGCAATGACACTGCCTTCGCTATGGGAAGGGCAATTGTGGGGTAAGGGCAAGGATAGATATGGGAGGACTCAAGTACCACTAGAAGAAGGGCCAGACTACTTGATGAGCCATTTTTGCAGCCTGGCCATGGAGAAGGGAGAGTTTCAATGACAAGTTAAGCAAACTGCACCCAGCTAAGGCTCCTGCCAGCCCGGGGAATCCCTCTCAATGTGGCCAGGCACCACCCACTGCAGTTCACTGCACTACACCTTGATTTTCCCAAGACATCTGGCAGAAGACAAAAGACATTTTCAGGTCACTTTTTATTGCTCACCCTTTCCTGTGTCACTCAGGGTGACTACTGGGGTGCTTCCATCCCAGCATCCCAGGAATAAGTGTAAATGGCTGTGTGATATCCCAGGTGGGGCTCAGGCAGTGCCAAACACTCACCTGAAGGCAGTGATCACTGTCTCTTTGTGGTAAGGACCAATATCAGCATGATTTCTGTAGATCTCCTCCACCTGAAAGGGTTAAAAAGGGGTGTTCAGCATGTCTAGAAGTGAGGAAAAGGCTAAAAGGCAGAGTGCCAAGCTTGCTAAGGAAAACCACCCATACCTGGCATCCCTGGGTGCAGGAATCTGCAGAGCCAAAGAAAGGAAGAAGAGTTGAGAGCCCCAGAAAAGCCCAGAGCTGCCCATCACAGCCTGCTCTGACTTAGCTCGCCCCACTCTTCTCTGGGGGAAGTGAATCCCCAAATCTGAGGGAAGAGGCAAGACCAGCCAGAACTTCAGCCTCCTTCAGACACCCTTCTGCATCACTTCCCAGCCCTGACTCATCCAGTGATCCTGGGATGTTCCCTGGCAGCTCCTATGGCTCAGGGAAWTGCTGTGCACTGGGCTGAAGCTGGGGTGTGAAGGTCCAGCTCCAAGGAAGGTCACTGCTCTCAGCCACTGTGTTGCAGTGAGCAGGGAAAGCTCCAAAGAACCTTACATAACATAACCCCATGGCCATAGAGCAAGAGGAAAATTCCCTGCTTGCAGGAGAGAGGCAAGAAACCTCTTACCGTGCTCTTCACCTTCTTGGCCAGCATACTGAACTCTGGAGAGCTGGAATTCTCATAGGCATCCAGGAACTCCCAGTTCAGAACCCGCAAGTGGCCATTAAAAACCTTCTGGATGGGTGTGTTCCTGTCTGGAAGGGAGCAGTTCAGGGTCAGGAAGGGCAGTCAGGGCTGGGACCATGTCACAGCAGATCCCCAGTGACAGCAGTTGGGGCAGGGGAGTGGAAATGGTATCTCCAGAGCTTGAGAGGGCACATGTGAGCAACACCAGGTAAAAACCTTTTCCATATGGATGGATATGTCCCCAGGGTGTTACCCTATATGACCCACCAGATGTCACACTCACATTTGAAGTGCCAAAACAGGAGGCCAGCAGTGAGAGAGACAAGCAGAAAAACAGTGATCAGGATTGTGATGACCACCCGCCGCTTTGGGCCACGCTTCTCCATCTTCTTGGAGTTCATGGCWGGGAGGAACTCCACCCCTTCGTCCAGGTTGTTCATGTCCTTGGGAGAAGAGGGAAGGCAGGACAGTGGGAAGGCTGTTCCCCAAGCCTGGCTTGGGGAGGTCCAGCCACAGAGCAGCCTGGAGCAGGTTTGGGGACAAGGAATGAGGCAGCACTGAGGGCAAACTGCAGCGTTGGCAGCTCCACAGCCACAACAGGACAAACCCTCAAGGCTTCCTCTTTGCTTTTCTGCACACACCTAATTCCTTTTTGGAAGGACCTAATATAAGGTCACGAGCTCAAGCAAACTCAGGGGCAAGTCCACACACCCTCCCGTGACCATGGCAGGTCACAAGCCCACAAGCTCCAAAATCTGCCTCAGCAGATGAAACTGCAGAGAAAAATTCATCCCCACAAAGCGCTTGCTGTGTGCAGGTGTGTCACCCACAGCTTGTGGGGCACAGCACACTACAAATAGCATTTCTTTAAAAGAAGAGGTCAAGCTGCTTCCTCCCTTTGCATTTTCACAGCTCCCTGTCACACCTCCTGGGTCACCAGCACTCCTGTGTTTATGCTTAGAATCTCCCATGCAACACAAACACCCATTAGAAGAAATAAACCAAAAAAATTAAGATGAACACACAAGACACCYCCACAGCCCACGTGCAGCCACGCTCTTGGGACAAGATGTGGAAGGGCAGATCTGCAAAGGAACGAAGAATGGCACAGCTTTCACTGTCATCACCACCCTGTAAYGGGCTGGGTGAGGAAGTGTAAGATCCGTAGAAGTATCAAGCTCTATATAAGCTGTAAAACTTGAGCTCTGTATCAGCTATACAACCATTGGTGCCTCAGGGTTCCATYGTCTCCCACCTTCTGTTCTGTTTCTCCATTCTTGTCCTGCTTGTGTATCTGCACTTTGGCCCAGGGGGGATTGAAAAAGCTGCAGACACAGATGTTTTCAGAGGATGYCACACACATCCTTGGTACTGTTGGACATTGTGGGGACCTGGATCTGTACCTGCCCTGGCATCTCCTCTCCTTCCAGCACTGGCAGTGGTGTGGGCAGAGCTCACATCCTCTACTTCCAATCTATGCCCCTTTTGGGCAGGAAGGTCTCTGTGCTTGCTGCAAAGGCCCGAAACAGGAGGATCCCTCATCTTTTGCTCACCACCTTCCCATTTTCCACTCAGCAGGCACTCAGCATCTCCCTGAGCTCTGGATGACAGCATGGACACCATGGCACCAAGTGCCAGCTCTCACAAATCTGCAGCATTTCCACGTGCCCCATGCTCCAGAAGGGTAACACTCTCCCCACAAACACAGGGTCAGACTCTGCCTGTCCTCTCTCAGCCCAGGGCTTACACAAACCTACTCCAACAGCTCAGGTTAATTTTATGCAAATGTCACAAGCCCCTAAGAGTCAGGAAAAATATGAACAAGGGGGATATGTCTTTATARGACATGGGGGAATGGCTTTGAAATGAAAGATAGCAGGGTTAGGTGGGATACTGGGAAGAAATTCTTCCCTGTGAAGGTGCTGAGGCCCTGGCACAGRGTGCCCAGAGAAGCTGTGGCTGCCCCTGGATCCCTGGATGTGTCCAGGGAGAGATTGGAGGGGGCTTGATSCAACCTGGTCTAGTGGAAGGTGTCCCTGCCCATGGCAGGGGATGGCACTGTATGGGATTTAAGRTCCCTTCCCACCCAATCCATCTGGGATTCTGTGTAAAATAACCAGCAAAGGGAATCCTGCTAACAAAAGACCTCTGAGCCATCCTTACTGCGTTTCTTCACTGCACTTTCAGTAGGTGCTTCATCTTATCTTTCCTCAGCCTCACCTGGCAGGAAAGACCAGCTCCCACATGAACCATTCCCCCACTTCTTTTGCTTTTTTCTTCACCCAATGCCTATGCTCTCCTCCCATCCTCCACACGCCACCACAGCCTCTCCTCCTTGTGGTATTTGCCCAGGGCTCTCCACAACAGAAAGGGAAGTGGCAGGCATCTTATTCTGACTTTTTGTCAAGGACTCTGTAAGTTTAATCTTCTGCAAAGACCAGAAGACCACCAACACCAGAGCAATCCACCAGTTTTCATGCCAGCTGTTCTGTGTATATTTATTGTTCCAGAGTCCTCCAAGTTTATCATTTGGCAGTGGAGGGAAGGAGTCTTTGTTCCTTTTTGAGATTTATTGTCTAAGGCTAGGCAGAAAGAACTGTTTCAATCCTCAAAATCCAGYCACTTCCAAAATAAACAGACTCGGCAGGGCCACAGGACAATCCCATGGGGAATGCTCTGAATCCTGTCTGGCTTCTGATCACACAGGAAAAGCTTGAAAATATAACCCAAGAAAACTTTGAAACACAAAGATGACACACAAAATAAAGCTTAAATACATAGAGACATCCTAAATCAAGAAACTCYTCAGTCAAGACTACCAGAAGTTTGACACATTGTCTTCCAAACATCCATCTGGCTCCCACCACTTTTCCAATCATGTAATAAATCCCCTCCAAAMCTGGTAAAGAGAAGAAACTGGCCACAAAATTTGCAAGCACATCCTCTCTCCCTCCATAGGGCTGCTCATACTGCTAAGGCTTCTCAGGACTTCGAAGAAATGGCTGCTTTTCGCAGAAAGCAAAGTAATTAATTCTCTATTAACATCTACAAGAGTCTGTGGCAAGAAGACAGTCTCAGGGGTTTAAATGATATATCACTTTCCCCAGACTTCCTGGGGCCAGCAAGGAAGAACTGCAAAGAAAACTAATTTTCCATTAGAAAACCCTTCAGCTGAGGGGACCTTCAGCCCTCTGCAGAATTCTCAAGCTTCAGTTTCACCAAACTGCCAGAAAAAAATAAGGCTCAGTGGCAAGCAGGAGCTCCTGCTGCTGCTGCAATACTGCACAACACCGTGGCTGATGAATTGTAACATCCCCTTTGAGCCAGATTGTGTCTTTGCAGAGAGAAAACTCTTCCAGGGAGAAAACCATCACTGTGATTAAATCAGAACGCAAGCAGAGTTCCCCTCTGCCTGCAGCACACATAGTGAATTTTCCTGCCTAATTTCCTTGCTCCCAGGAGCAGTTGCRTGTGTCTATCGGATCTTTCTTTAGTGAATTCCTCTGTTTTTCTTAGAAAAAAAAAAGGATGAAAAATGTTAAACCCTTTAGAGTTTACAGCATTTGTCAGTTTGTTCTTGCTCCAAAGCCAAGCCACCAGCAACACAGGAGAAATTACATGAGTGTGCAGTCTTCTGGGAAGGTTAATTTTGTTTTTCCTCCCATACAAGGTGCACAAGCAGCCACACACTGTTACTTGCCAGAAGTTACCCAGTGACTACAGGCAGAYAGGAGACAGGATCCAAACAAGTTTCCCTCCCTCCCTGCCCTCTGTGCTGTATTCCAGCTCTGGTCCTCTCCCGTTTCCATMCCTTATGGATGCCATTATGTTCCTCAGCCAACACAGACACTTGTGTGAAGAGCCCTCACCCATCACAGCCTAGGTAAGCAACAGAGTCCTGCAAACTCTTCCCAATACCCAGTGAAGGGTCTGAAGCATCCCCCAAGCACTGCTGGAATGATGAATCAGGCTGTGCAGGAAGGTCTCARATGAGGCTCTGTGTCCTCAACTCCGAGTTAGAGACTGAAACCTYCCTGCCCACACTCAGCACAAAAAATACCCGTTTGACCTTAGGAYCAGACTTGCCTGTGCCCCAGGAGCACAGCTCAGCCTCTGCCCCTCTCATCCCTATGCACCACATCCCCTTTGCTCCTGACATCTGGGAGGAGAAACACCCCGTCACCGTTCTCTGAGCTAGATGGAAACCAGATGAAATCACACACAAGACAGGCTCAAAGATCACAGTTAAACCAAGAAAAAGACACCGGAAATGTTCATCTCCTTCAGCCGATGGACTGCACATTTCCCTTGCGTGCTCTGAGCAGCAGCAGCTGTAAACCAGAGAGGAACTGAACACATCCTGCTCTCACCTTGTCCATGGCTCCTCCAGAAACCRTCTCTAGCCCAAAGTGACTCAAGGTCTGAGTGTCTCACCCTTCTCAAGGAAACTGCTCCAATAAACATTATTAACAGAAAACCTCCCTTGATATTCTCTCTGCCTTAGTCACTGGTGCAGTTACTTCCTCCTGCTCCTCCTCACTCAGTCCTTGCCAGCATGGCCAGGCTCCCCACACAGGGTCAGAGGGATCTGGTCATAACATCAGCTGTGGCAGCAAAACCAGTCCAGGGAAAGGTTCAGACAGGCAGTGCCCCAGTTCTCCCACACCTCAACTTCTCCTGGGGTACCGACTCCATGAGGAAACGTCGGAAATGTCCATAGATGGATTTATAGAGCACTTGGAGGGCTCCTGCTCCTCTGTGCAGAGATTGAACTCTGTCCTGGGAAGAGCAGACTTCCCACTCCTCCTCTGTAAGCCACACGATGTATTTTTAGACAGCGACTGTGCTCTGCCTGACTGGACAAACCAGATGCAGAAGTGACTAATTCTGTCAGCAGGAAATTCAGCTGATGCACGGGGGTGGTGGGAACCAGCTCTGCACTGGAGATCTTACCGGAAAGCAGAGAGATTCTTCTGCAATGGGGATCATGGAAAGGCTGGGATATGCCATGGAGTACGGTGCTCCAGCATGATGTGTGAAAAGCAAGGGTCCCTCTGAGATCAGCATCCCCCCCAGAGTCTGTTTTCTGCCTTGTTTGGCAGTCCACCAAGATGGTGATATGTCCTGGGCACCAAATCCCTCACTGCACCCCTCTCCTCCAAAATGCTGCTCTGTCTCTCCCTCAGTATCTGCACATGTTCACAGGACCCTGACCCACGGAAGGACTGGGCTCCTGGCCAGTATTTTCACTGTCCCTTATGACCACCAGGTAATTTGTTTGTCCAGAACCAGACATAAGATTCGCCKGCTTCCTTTGACTTTCCCAACTCCAGACTCTGCTGATCTGCCACGGGACTGCTCAGAGCAAAAGCTGCCCAGATCTTACAAGGTATGATCAGGTGTGCAACCAAATCAAATCTCACAGCAAAAAAAATTCCACTGTCTGACACCAATGTACATGCTAAGAAAAGGAACCCATAAAATGCCAGGCTGGAGGAGGCCCGAGGAGGCTGGAGATGAAGCAGAGTCATCAGACTGCATGGTTAGACTCTTGAGAGCAATTACACCATGAGATCCCAGCCTGTGTATCCAAGAGGCAATTCCCACCTCCCCTTTTCCAGCCACACCTGCCTCGGGTGGTGTTCAATAAAAACTAAAACAAATACCACATAAGAACCGAGAGGAATGAAACCTGCCAGCTCATCCAGCAGTTCAGGTCACGGCTGGGCTCAGAGCTCAGGAGAGCAGCAGGGTGGGCTTGTGTGGCAGAAAGAGCCAGAAAAGTGGTATTTTCAAAACCTGAGAATTCCTGGATCATACTGAAAGCCAATGCCAGCTTTGTGGTGCTWGCATGAGAGGAAACAGCCTGTTTTCCACCAGAAAAAGCAAAACAAATGTAAACAGCATGTGCAACTCACTTCACCCAAGCAGCTCAAGTACAGTATWTCACCCTTAAATCAATTTCTGCACCAGTTTTTGCTGCAAACCCCAACACTCCTCTGGGAAAAGATCTGGTAAGAATATCTCCTCATTTCTCTTCTTACTCTTGATAAGAAATACAYTGAAAGAGCATGCATGGGAGCAAAGCTTTTGTAAGTTGTGTTTGTGCTGTGTTGCCCCACCATGGGCAGTAAAGCACCAAAGAAACTTTGCCAGCGCATTATTTTTCGTCTTCAGTTCTGCATTAAGGGCAATGAAGCTATAAAATGATGACATCAGAACTAAAAAGGGAATATGGGGCAAGAGCTTAAGGACAGAGTCCTCCAGACTGTGTAACTTCCAGGCACAGAGGGCAGATGCAATAGTGAAAGATACAGGTCACACACACCTATTTCACACACCAAGTTTGATCTTAACTCTCTACAGCATTTGATTGTCTTGTGACCACCCTGAGTCATATGAGAAACCAAATTCCTTTAGGTTTATTATCGAAGAAACTCAAGTTAATGTTTGCAGAGACAGCACAGGCTTGGATTGTTGCCCCATCCAGGCTGAGCAGGGCAGCTCTGTCCTGCATCACAGCAGCTCAGAAAAAGCTACCATGCATCTCTGTGTCTGTGGTAGCAGAGAATTCTACACGTAAGTCTTAGCAACTTTTCGAGAGAAGTTAGGAGTAAAGGTACCCTACAGCCCTGATCTGTGTAACTATGAGCCATGAAATTCCTCCTTAGAACACACTGATGTCCCAAGAGCAGCAGAGAAACATGGCACAGATGCAAACAGCTGATTTTAAATACTTCTATGTCTTYCCTGACAGATAGAACCGTCTGGAAAACAAAATTGCCTCCAGCAGCTTAATCAAGGTAGCTGAGCCCCAGCCCTCGAGCTCCACAATCCTTGTGACATTTCACTCCTTCCGACAGTTTTGAGGCAGATCTGGACCAAGAGTCTCCAACGTTTGAAACCAATAGCAAGGAAAACACCAGCACCTCCAACCAGGAAAGTCTGTGTCTGCCAAACCCGTCCCTGTTGGCTGCTCCCACCCCGCCCCAGCCCACGGCCCGGATATCAGAGGGCATTATTTCCCAGTCTGTCCCCGGCAGCCTTTGGATGGAAACGACTCATTCTATCCCAGGCAAGAGGGGAACCTTTACTCCAATACCTTCACCACGGCCAGGSCCTCAAAATACTCTCACTGCTCCCTCAAGACAAAGTGATCTTTCGTTTGCTGAGCAAAGGTCTGGCCTCAGTCCTTTTCTCACTGTGTCTTCCTGATTCCTGTTTGCTTTTGGCACCAACAGCAGCCAAACTGGCCTGAGCAGCAGCTCACCCACCAGCCACTACCCCAGGGAAATACTTGCACATTTCCAAGGAAGAGCAACAGCTTCTCCTCAGCCCAAGAACTGCCACAGCTCCTTTGCTGGAACGGGAGGTGACACAAGACATTGCAAAACTATTAATTTCCTCCACTGTCCTGGTTATAAGGGGCCAAGTCCAACAACAGTCCATAGTGGACAAACTCCTCGGGCTGTTTCCTGCCAGGAAGGCAGGTACTGTCTTTRAGGAAGCTGTCCTGGATAAGATCAGCCTCTTGAACTGACACAGGGGGAAAACTGATCCAGAACCAGGGAAGGGACCTGCTTGAGTCCCCAGTCCTGGATAAAGACAAACCAGAGCACAAAGCTACCTTCTGCCAGGAGAATAAGCCAGGCAGGGAAGATCATGTCACACAAGCGTCACCCCGACCTGGCCAGGAACAAGGAGCTTGACCTGAACTGCATCAGTGAGAGCATTTCCTTCCCATTCTCAGCCCTGGCACACACCGGACAGCAGGGCTTGAGGCAAGGAAAACTTTTCTTGCTGCAGGCCAGCTTTTTGATCAGTCCCAGAACCAGCAGCTCCTTTGTTGCTGCCAGATAATAACTACTAAAGCCAGGCCTTGGAGGCAGACACCACACAGCCTGTAGGAACGGTGGGAAGTGCTGCTGTCCTGCTTTAACACAAGACCCTGTTTGGAACAGTTCTGTGGCATGAAACAGGCTCTGGAGGTGCAACTCAAACCCAGCTGTCCCTGCCCAGCCCTCAGCCAGGAAGATCTACACAAGAAGCTCGCTCAGGTCTCAGGGCACGCTGATATTGCAGCAGTTAATTAACGAAGCCCCACAGCCCACAGTTGAAATTGGCCCTTCTGATGCTCGAACAGGTTTAGTTGGATCTGTTGCTAAACAACCCAGAGCCAGACTGAGCACACAACTCACCTGCAGAGTTTACCTTTACGCACAACCCCAATGCCCTCAGCTTAAGCTGAAACCAAAACCTCCGGAGCGATGGCTGAACTGACACCAAGGGGATCCAAAGCTGGCACAGACAGGTAGGGATTTTCACTTCTCCAAAGGTTTTTTGGGGTTTTTTTTTTTTCTGTTCTGCGGAGCTCAGCAACCCCCCCCAAACAGGTTCTTCTGACCTTACCCAAGGGTGAGCTGGAAYGTCCCCCTTCCTGAGGGATCCTGGGCTGCCTTGAACCTGCCAGGCTCGAAGGAACCGGAGCAAGCAGWGGACGAGCCAGTGTCAGGTACGGAGGGAGCCCCGCGGGCTCAGGTGTGCTCTCACCTGCAGCTGGGCGCTGTACCTAATGCCGGCCCCGGTGGCCGGGGGGCCGCGCTCCATGGCTCGGGCAGGGCCGCTCCTCAGGCTGCCATGGCGCGCTGCTCCAGCCGGGCACAGTGCCCGGCTCCTCCTCCCCGCTCCGGGCAGGTGTGGGCAGCCGGAAACACCCCAAGGGTGCTGTGCCGCTCCCCTGGCTGCCTGCGGCTCCTGCCTCTCCTGCTCCACACAAACAGGGGAAACACCGTGCCCTAAAAGCTGCGCCCAAAGCCCGCCTGAGCGCTGCATCGTCCAGGACACTCTTCAGCCATACTCTGTGCTTTTGAAAATGAAACTAGAAATAGCTGTTTAACCGAGAGAAGCCGCCCCGCAGTCGGTAGGAGGCTGGCTGGMAGGCGTGCAGCAATGCTCGGTTCCTGAGGAAAAGCGTTGTGTATCCACAGTCTCATCCCTCCTCGGGTGACAACACTATCATGCCATGAAACCCCGCTGCAAAGAAGGCACTCTCAGCACACTGACAGTTTACCCCAGGGACAAGCCTCATGCTCCCAAAAAGATTTGGTACACTCAGAAGCAAAATYTCCTTTTCCCAGCCTGAAACCTGCCCTCAGCCAAGCTCTAGCACTGTAGGAATGAGAGCTTTCTCCTGGCTAACAGACCAGATGCTAAGTGAACCACACGGCAGTGCTGCAGAAACTGCACCTTCACCCAACCGTGGCACTTGTGGGGTGCTCACATAGAAACAGCTCCCGGGGACTGCGTGGTTTAAATTAAGCAGAGAGGGAGAGGAGAGACTGGGGTTCTGAGAACGCTCTATTGAAGGTTTGAAAGAGTTTGTAATACTGAAATCTTCATTCCACTTACCCCTTCTTGAATAGATGATTCATACACACACCCTCCAATATTTAAGTTTCTCACATTCACGAGCAAGTCAGGATTAAAAAAACTGTATCAAACTCAATTTTTTATGGGAAGATTCTTCCTTTCTCCACCTTACATGTGGCAGTCCATATAAATATGTGATATCCCATCAAAAATTGAACTTGCCACCACGCCGCGGATCCAAACTTCTTTACACCAATTGTATCCAGCCCTGAAACTGAATTTTTCAACACTTGAACACTTAAAATTTCTAAGAACTCTGGTGCAACAGAGGTGCTGATCACACGCAGGAAATCCCCTGCTGAGTC